GGATCCCACATAGGGATGGCCGGTTTGCTCACTGGCTGAGCGTGGTGCTGACAACACCAAGTCAAGGGTTAAGATCCCCTTACCGGTCATCTTTTAAAAAAAAAAAACTCTAACCTACCCTCATCTGATTGTGGGTCAAAAGGGCCCCATTTCAGATGGGGTCCTGCCCCATACCTGGACGGAATGCTGCACAGAGGCCAAGAATCTGGACAAGACCTGCTGGGTTTCCCCACTCAAGTCTGTTAGTATTAGATCAAACCTTTTTTGTCCATGCTTCAAACATGCCTACATACGAAGCTTCCATAAACACCCAAAAGGACAGGGTCCAGAGAATTCCAGATAGCCAAACGTGGAGATTCCCAATAGGGTGGCCAGTCCTGGGAGGACATGGAAGCTCTTCACCTTCTCCCATATTTTGCCTTGTGTACTTTACCTATATCCTTCGTAATTATCCTTTTATAATAAATCTGTAAACATGTTTCCCGAGTTCTGAGAGCTGCTCTAGTAAATTAGCCATACCCAAGGAGGGAGGCTGTGGGAACCCTGATTGATAGGTCAGAAGCACAGGGAATGCAGCCTTAGCCATACCCAAGGAGGGAGGCTGTGGGAACCCCGATTGATAGGTCAGAAGCACAGGGAATGCAGCCTTAGCCATACCCAAGGAGGGAGGCTGTGGGAACCCCGATTGATAGGTCAGAAGCACAGGGAATGCAGCCTGGGGCTTACGATAAGCAGCTCAAATGGGGAAGGGGAGAGTCTTGGGAGACTGAGTCCTCAACCTGAGGGATGTGACACTATCCCTAGGGCAGGGAGTGATGGAATTGAATTAGAGGTCACCCAGATGGTGTCTGCTGCAGAACTGATTGATTTCTTACTTGCTGGTCAGAAGCATGCTCTGAGAGTATATAGTAGGAGAAACTGAACTGTTTTTATCCCACTTAACATCATTAAAAACCTCAAATGCTTATCAGTAACATCTAGTACATTAGAATATTATGGGAGTCAACCCAGAAATCCTTTAGTATTGATGTGTGGTACAATCTAGTATTTTGCACCAACTGTGATGATCCATTCAGTGGTAGAACATTACCTTCCACTTTCCCAAATCTTTTTATACCATCCTGTTTTCAATGAGACCAAACAATATTTATTTGCTTTAAAATATTTTATTGGAATCATTTTGATAAAACCAGATACCTGTATAAGACAAAGCAAACGTGAAAGCTGTCTACTTGGTATGTAAGTGCCCCCAAATTTCTAGGCAATTTTTCCCTAATAAGTTGATAGCTGCTCAACACATTGAGTTCACAATACAATAAGTAACACAATACAATACAGTAAGCTGACAGCTATTTATTATAGGAATGGGCCCGGCCCCGTGGCGCACTCGGAAGAGTGCAGCGCTGAGAGCGCAGTGACGCTCCTGCCACGGGTTCGGATCCTATATAGGAATGGCCGGTGCGCTCACTGGCTGAGCGCAGTGCAGGCGACACCACACCAAGGGTTGTGATCCCCTTACCAGTCACGAAAGACAAAAATTATAGGAAAGTTCCTAGGATCTGCCCAACATCAGATAGAGGACCTCCTTCGTGTCAGCAAAATCCTGAAATTTCAGAAAAGGAACATGCATCAGAACCATGTAAAAAAAAAAAAAAAAAACCATGTAGGCAACTGCCAGTAAAAACAGAAAGCTGGAGCTGGCCAGTTAGCTCAGTTGGTTAAGAGTGCTGCCGTGTAACACTAAGGTCAAGGATCTCCTTACTGGCCAGCTGCGAACAAAACCCCATAAAGCCGGGTGGGCAGGGGAGGTGCCAGACAGGATGAAAGGGAAGCATAAGAGTGGATCAGGTGGTTTCAAAGCTCATCAGAGAAAAGTTCAGAGACTCTAGTCCAACCAGGTCATCATTACCACTCTGGGGATGGGAGCCAAGATGGGGGACACTAACCATAGCAACCAGGGAGAAAGGGCTTGCTCTCCACTTGTCACAGCCTTAAGATGAAGTAGCAGGAATTTATATAACCTTAGGCTTTCAGTCATCAGGTTAGTACAGAATCTCTGTGAAGGGGTGCTGCCCCTGGCTGGGCTTCCAGAGCTCTCATGCTACAAAGATGAAAACAAGACAATTGATGAGAAGAACAAGCAGAGAATATGACCCTCCCTTTGGCCCTTCCCAGAGACCCAAGTATCCAGTTCCCTAAATGGGTCAGAACTTATTTTTGACATCAGGACCAGCGTCAGAGACTCTAGTCTGTGAAATCATCATTTCCAATTTAGGGAGACCTGGATTAAGGGAAGCCATTCCAGGGAAGGGATCCAGTACCTTCAGAGACAACAGCCCCAGTAAACAAGGATTTAACAAATAAAGAATCCAAGGATGGGAAGTTTGAGAGAGGCAAAGAGTAGGAAATAAATTCAGAACTGCAGAGAATAGCTCCACTGGGAAATCCTACATGCGTTAGAGTTTACAATAGAAATATGGGTGGAGACAGGTTGTCCAGGCTTAGCTAAAAATATGAGATTACAAAAAATTAAAAAGTGAGTAATAGTCACAAGAGAAATGTAAACCAAAGAAAATTACCAGGTGAAATACTTGCATTGGTGCACGTACCCATCAGAAAATAAGCAGACACCATAATGTGCCATAAAAGAGGTTGGGAACAAAATGTTCTGTGGGAGGCACTCACAGGACTATCACACTTAACACTCACCTTTATTCAAAGATAACACGCCAATGGACGCCTTAAAACCCCTAATTGGAAAAAGAAACACAGAAACAAAAGATTAATAAGGGTTCTGGCCACCAACTTCCCCAGGCCCTGGTACTAGGGATACCGGCCCGGCGGGAGGGAGAAGGCGGGAGGCGGTCAGCGCGCTGCGGTGATGGCGTCAGCGAGACACTCAGAGTCACCTGGGGTCATCATTACCCCCGTCCTCCCCCAGGGTGACCGCCACAGCATCTCTCACACCCACTCACCACAGTGAGACTGCGGACCCGCCGGGGAGGATCAAAGACCTGAGAAAAAAATCAGTGAGTTAGCAGAGCCGGGGCGACTCCAGCCGCGCTCTCCCTACGCAGGCTGGGTCAGTTCCAAGCAGTGGCGTCACGGAGACATCAGAAACTCTAGTCTGTAGCGGAAGTTCATCCCGCCCAGCCCTGGACTGCAGCACTCTCCCCCAGCAGGGCCCCGAGGTACCTGCACGCGGGCTGTTGTGGAAAGATGGCGCGGAGCAGCAACCGAGGCCCCCACACCAGGAGCCGACGAGCCCATCGCACAAAGAGAACTACAAAACCTGGACCAGGGTTATTTATGGCGGCGCCGGGCTGGGGCCCTGACGGCCATGGCTGTCTGCTTCCATGCCTGATCCGACGCGCAGCATTTCCCCCACTGTACGTCCAAATAGGAATAAAACAAAGTGAAACAAAGGCCGTGGAAGTATGTTGCACACTCTCCTGAGCAAATATGCGGAGGTGTTTTGTGAATTTTGAAGAACAAAAAAGAGGTGACCCCGCTGGCCAGGCGGGAGGAAGTCCCCTGCGCCCGCGGGACCCGCGCGGGCTGGGCGCTCCGCCTTCAGCCTTCTCCCACGGCCCCGCCCCCCTGCAGCCGTTGGTGGCCTCGGGGCTTCCCCTGCGTCCTCACCCCGGGGGACTCATCCCGCTGCGTCCAGCCAGCGAAGTCTGAATTCGCTCCCCCGCTCGAGCCCGCAGACCTGTCAGGCACATTAAGCTTCATGCCTTTTTTTTTTTTTTTTGACCTGTCAGGCACATTAAGCTTCATGCCTTTTTTTTTTTTTTTTAATTAAAGAAAACAGCTTAATGAGGTATAATTGACATAGAATAAACGCATATTTAAGAAACAATTTGATAACGGTTTTTATTTTTACCATCTTAGTCTTTTTGAAGTGATGACGGAAACAAAGCAGGTTTCTAAAATAAACCTCGCCTTGGATTGAGTATCACGATCTCGGTGTCGACATCTTGTTTCATACGTGAGAATAGTATGTGATTCAGTAACTAACGTATAACTAATGTTTAACAAAGAAAGGTCAAAAAGCATGGAAAACGTGCTAGAAAATGCACATGGAAATTTTTAGCTTTATGATGTAACGTGCAATCAATGATTATAACTCCTGGATTTTTACCCACCAATGCACAACTCCATAATGAGACATCCCCCTCGCTATGTAAACTTTTCTGTAAAATCCTTTCGGCTTGTGATGAACTTCAGAACACTTTTCACCCCTGTTGGTCTATGTTTCCGGGGTCGATCCTCCTAGTAAACTCTAAAACTCTTTTGCCTCAACAGCCTCTATTTCGGTTCACAAAAGCGTACAGTTCCGTAAAGTATTCATTTGTGCAACGAATCTCCAGAACTTTTTAATCTTGCAGATCTGAAACGCTACTCCCACTGAACAACTACTCCCCATTTTCTCCTGCTAAATGTCTTTTTTTGGGGGAAAGGGGCCCCTGGCCGGTTCGGGCATCCTTCGTGTCCTTTTTATGAACAGTGTGTGGCCTGGGAGTTGGCCAAAAGTGAGTGGAAGGGTTCAGTGCCCTCTGAAAAGCAACTTATGTCACAGAGGGATTGGAAGCAAACCTATTTCGGGTGGGGTGGCAACAACCAGGCACCATTCTCTCTTCCTGAGTTTTCCCTCCCTCGGAAATTTTCCTTAGTCATTTGTTCTTGGCCTTTAATCCACCAACCCTATATCATTCCAAATCCAGCCTTCCTGAGCCCTCCCTATCCCCCTCCTTTATAAATGCAGATAATGTTTGGAGACACGTATTGGCATTTTTTCCTACATCTTTTGTGAGAAAACTATACAAGATAAGTCTCCTTTTCTCTCTCTCTTTTTAAAAAATCATGTCAGTCCTCATACCGGCCAGTTGCCGAAAAAACAAAAAAATTTTAAAATAAATCATGGTGGGCTGGCAAGTTAGCTCACTTTGGCAAGCCTGGTGCTGGTAACACCAAGGTTAAGGGGTCAGATCCCTATATGTCAGCCCGCCAACAAAAAAAATTGACCATGTCATGTTAAAATCATGTCATTTGAGGGCCGGCCT